GTATCTGAGTTCGGTGCAGACTGTGATATTTTTTGTATTTATTTAAATCAAAATGTAATTTACTCAGTGGAAGCCTCTTGCTTTGATGGACAGGATATTTACTCTAATAAACACTGAAGCTCTGTTCCCTCCTTTACTTGATTTGAGAGTTTTTCCCTAAATAGAACTGTAATGAATTGGTGATAATTTTTCTTTGAAGTATGTTGCAAAAATCATGTTACCCTTGGACAGTTCTAGGCTGTAAGTGAAGAAAAGAATTTTGTTGTGTAGTGGGGGAATACTTCCAGGAGGTTGGACGATTTCTGAATTTCTTTTGATATGGTTTTCACTTTGACTTTCCTTTTTAAAGCGACCAAGATAGTTTCTTGTATTGGAGGGAGTTCAGATAGCTGTGAGCAGAAACCACTCCCAGTTCTCACTGTTGTTTTCATTAGCTGAGAAGGAGCCGCAGCCACCTACTAAACATTTCAAGAATTACCAATTAAAGCAGGGAGGGTTTAAATCTGCACCCTACTGCTTAATATTCTGTAGTATGTGTTGAAATGGAAAGCTCATGTATTTTACTTTGGATTTTAATGACTCTTTTTATCTAATGAAATAAAGTTACCCTTTCTTCTCAGTGTTCACCTACCTGTTCTTGCTGAATACTGGTTGTTAAAAGTGTAAAGTAGTGAAGAAAGTGCAAAGCTCAATATGCAATGGCGCCTCTAGGTTCAGGGGTGGAAATTGGCTGGAGGGCCTGTGGTTTGTGTTGCTGTGGCATTGGGGGTGGGAATGCCAGGTGAGGCGTAGGCCCTGTGGTCTCGTGCTTCTGCTTGATACCCAGAAATGTTTTGTGTTAACCAAGTACACTTCCTACCAAGACATATTCTGCAGATATGCCCTCAAAGAACAGATTTGACTGCAGTCCCACCCACAGCACTTAGAACAGTAGCAGTGAATAAGATATAAATGTACCTCACTTCTGCATCCAGTGAGGGATGAGAACTTGAGTGAAATTGCAGGGACAGAGAGACAGGTTTGTCCTCCTCGCCCCCCCCC